GTACGATGGTTGTACCTGTGCTTATTGAGCACATAGCGCGCTGCCCTTCGCTGGACCATTTCCAACTTGTCAATATTTGTTTGGGTGTGAGGGTCCCATACTGTACAGGCATACTCAAGTGATGGTCAAACTAATGATTTGTATGCCTGTACTTTGGCTGATGTTGAGCCAATTTTAAGATTTCGTCTTAAAAAGCCTAGCGTAGAATTTGCTTTTGGGCAGATAGTATTTATATGTGAATCCCATGTAAGGTCAGATGATAGTGTTACACCCAGATACTTGGCCTGACTAAGATGTTCCAGTATGTGTCCATGTAAAGTATAATTATGGACTATTGGAGTTTTGTTTTTAGTCACCGACAACACATTGCATTTGTTTGAGTGGAAGATCATTTTCCATGTATTTTCCCAGAGCGATATGGGCCCTGGGAATGAGGACGAGGATGTGTGTATGTATGTGTGGGTGTGTGCATGCGTATGTACACACGCTATGTATATGCAAAGGTCTGGATATATGGGTGTCTGTTTACATATATGTTTGCATTGCTGTGTCTAATTACAAAATAGTTCATTTGTACAACAGGTTATCATGCATATATATATATATCAGTATCTTCATGATACATGCATGCACCTGTCCATCCTGTCATACTTTAATATATGAATTCATGTACATGTATTTCATTTGTCTGAGTGTTGGAAATAAAATCTGAAATCTGAAATGTCAGATTCTAGGACAAAGCCAAATCAGGAAAATGTCACATTTCCGTGTGTCTGCCAAAACTGAACCAAGACAAAAGACTTTTAATAGGACATAATAGTAGGCAGACGTGGCAAGTTTTTATACTGATACTCATTTCTCTTCATTATTCATACAACTGCAATTTTAATCGCTCATAGAAGTTCACTTCAATCTTCACATTTTATCGGTAATATTATAAGACTTAAAATTTAAACTATTATACTAATTCTGAACCTAGTTTGCCGATTTTCCTTGTAAGGTTTATACTGCCTTATGCTATTGTGCTTGGAAACGGTTTACCCATTGATATATATCTTATTGGAATATATCTTAAGGGGGACAAGCACTTCATGAAAATCTGTAAGCCCCCCATTCCATTCATTAACCATCATATGTAAATCGTTTCTGATAAGGTTTCTTATACATCCTGATATATTTTACGAACTCATCAAAAGCCAGGTTCAAGACAGAACATGGTAAAAAAAGAAGTATATGTTTGAAGTAATAGAACTAACTTCCTATTTTAAATGAGAGGGAAATGGTGATTTCTTTCAAGAAGGAGAGAATATATAGTTGTTTAGAGCATAACTACAATTTAACAGGTATTATTTACAAGTACCCAACATATTTCACGATAACTCAGTAGTACCGTTACAAAATTTACTAGGATTTATTCTCTTTAGATCATATATTACAGACACACGTAACATGTCTGAATAATTGTAATAATGTGGAAAACGGAACATGCTGAAAATCTGAGCTGGTCTTTTCTATGGAGAATTTGTTGTTCACCATTCAGCATTGTGGATAATAGTTTCCAACAAAAACAACAAAGAACATTGATTGCAAATAGATAACTCATTTCTTTATTCCAAAATTATTCCACGGAAGTGGATGTGTCGCCTGCGCAGGAAGCTGGGAGATTGTGCTTAGCACTGCATGAAGTTTTAGTTTGATCGGCCAAAGGAAACTCAAGTTATCGCACGAAAACAGATTTTTTATTTATAGTAACAGGGACCTTGACCTTTGACCTTAGGACCTGAAAAGCAATCCCAAGCAAGCACTTTTGCTGAGGAAGCACTGCATGAAGTTTGAGTTTGATCGGCCAAAGGAAACTCAGGTTATCGCACGAAAACAGATTTTCTATTTATAGTAACAGTGACCTTGACCTTTGACCTCCGGACCTGAAAAGCAATCCCAAGGAAGCACTTTTGCTAAGGAAGCACTGCATGAAGTTTGAGCTTGGTCGGCCCAAGGAAATTCAAGTTATCGCACGAAGACAGATTTTTTATTTATAGTAACAGGACCTTGACCTTTGACCTTCGGACCTGAAAAGCAATCCCAAGGAAGCACTTTTGCTAAGGAAGCACTGCATGAAGTTTGAGTTTGAGTTAGCAATACCTATGTGTCACCAGCTTTTTCGCAGGCGACACAAAAACTGGCTTCAATCATGATAAAATATATACTTTGAATAAACATTTGTTGATAAATTTTACTTGCACATTTTTTTTTTATAAATCAATACATACATTGTGTAATAGCAGTTTGGCCCCTTGTCAGGATTTTGATCTTGAAGTGACCTTGGCCTTGAGGTTATTGGGCTTTTGAATGGCAAACAATGCACAGCTATCATGAAACACATATTTTTGAAGTTTTCAAAAACCAATGTTTAGCGATTCAAAAGATACAGTTTAGAAAAGTAACAGTGATTTGAAATTTCACCACCCCCCTTGTGACCTTGACTTGTATTAGTAAATAATACATATCCAATCATGATACACATATCTATAAAGTTTCGAAAATAATGTTAAGCCGAAATAAAAATTCAGATAACAATTTCTATAATTTGAACTTTGAACCCGGATTGTAGTGATTTTGACCTTGGGGTCATAAATCTGTGGAAGGTGAAGCTTGTTGCTATCTGGTGCGTCTCTAACCTATTGTCTCTCACTCCTATTGTCTCTCACTCCTATTGTCTCTCACTCCTATCATCTCTCACTCCTATCGTCTCTCACCTATTGTCTCTCAATCCTATTGTTTCTCACCTATCATCTCTCACTCCTATTGTCTCTCACTTCTATTGTCTCTCACCTATCATCTCTCACTCCTATTGTCTCTCACTCCTATTGTCTCTCACCTATTGTCTCTCACCTATTGTTTCTCACCTCTCGATTCTCACTTATCGTCTCTCACCTATTGTCTCTCACCTCTCATCTGTCACCTATTGTCTCTCACCTATCTTCCCCTCACCTATCGTCTTTCACCTGTTGTCTCTCACCTATCGTCTCTCACTTATCACATATCGTCTCTCACCCATCACCTATTGTCTCTCACCTATCACCTATTGTCTCTCACTTATTGTCTCTCACCTATCAGATATCACCTATCGTCTCTCACCAATTGTCTCTCACCTATCACCTATCGTCTCTCACCTATCACCTATCGTCTATTACCCACCACCTATTGTCACTCACCCATCACCTATTGTCTCTCATCTATCGTCTCTCACCTATCACCTATTGTCTCTCACCTAATGTCTCACCTATCACCTATCATCTCTCACCTATCTTCTCTCACCAATTGTCTCTCATCTATCACCTATCGCCTATCGTCTCTCACCCATCACCTATCACCTATCACCTATCGTCTCTCACCTATTGTCTCTCACCTATCACCTATCATCTCTCACCCATCACCTATCATCTTTCACCTATTGTCTCTCACCTATAACCTATCGTCTCTCACCTATCACTATTGTCTCTCACCTATCACCTATTGTCTCTCACCTATCACCTATTGTCTCTCACCTATCATCTCTCACCTGTCGTCTCTTTGTCTTTCACCTATTGTCTCTCACCTATCATCTCTCACTCCTATTGTCTCTCACCTATTGTCTCTCACCTATCGTTTCTCACCTCTCGATTCTCACCTATGGTCTCTCACCTCTCGTCTCTCACCTATCGTCTCAAAACTCATTTTAATACAATGCATCAATCATTGTTGTCTTCAAATAATTTTGATAAACAATTTGATTTTTTTTCTCTTAAATTAAGATAAATTTTCAAAATGTTTATCCTTCTGAAATTGTTCAAGACTGTTATCATAATTCTTATTGTCAGATGAATATCAAAAACCTTGACACACACAATTTCACTATAATTTCAATAATTTTGGAAACATTCATGATTCAAATTCTGTTAATCCAATGACTCCGACACAAGTGGCCCCAGAAGGATGTAAAAATGTCAACCACACTAGGAATCTTCAAAATAAATGTGACATTAACTTTGTTTCCTTGTGTTGAGTTGAGACAGATATTTGTGACGGTATGGTTCCTGGTACTAGAGATAGCTGTTCTGGCCGGAAGTTGGAGACTGGATGAGTATGTTTCTAGGTGTGACCGTCCCATCACTGTGTGACCCTGCCTCCGATCTCAGGTCAGACTGCTCTTTGTATGGTCCTTTCTTGCCTCCATTACTGAAGAGTGGACCAGGAACTGCACGAAATTCATTAAAAGACAAATTATACATAATTGTTTCGTTAACAGTTTTCTTTTAAAACAGTTGCATAAAATAATTATTATAGTTACCGAAATAATTTTTCTATGCAAACCTCATTAGCTTGACACCATTTATAAAAGTTCTGGATACAGTTTAGAAAGAGGAATCATCACTAAAGATACATGCTAACTTCCTACCTTTTTTCTTAAAGAGTTCCATATAATGAAACCTACAAAGTTTCTTTTTTTACGACATGTTTTCTCGTTTAGTTAATCTTTATGATAACAAGTTTGAAAAACATACAAGGAAACATATACTGAAACACTCACACTTGAAAAAAATATATTGACTGTTTTTACTTGAAAAAGAGGGTTAAATCAAGATGAGTAACTTACATATATATAAAAATAGCAGCACCCAGTAAATACAGTAAATGTGGGCCAGTACAACACTAAGCCAAGTCGTTTTAATGGGCCAGGCACCAGTTTTAAACAACATTCTTTAACCAGTAGACCTTCCTAAGTTTTCCTATTGGAAGGCATTGCTAAAGTAATGACATTTTCCTTAAATCCGGATTTTACTTTAACTCAAGTAATACTTTCCAACAGAAAATCTAAGTTAAGGAATGAATGTAAATACAGATTTAGATAAGATATTTTTAAGGGAGATAAATCTGATCACATTGTTTGTAAGGTGGCAACACCCTTAAAAATGAAATCAATATATATTTGTGGATAATAATAATCCAAATTATTCAAGTTCCAGTGTTTTCAGATTTTGGAGATTATCATTTCATTTGCAAAATTGAGAGAAAGAAAATATAAAGAAGAAAATAAAAAGGAAAATCAATATTATAAGTCATATACAGTAATGTAACTGATAATGTAAAGTGCAGGTTTATCTACATGTAATTGCAAAACTCATGAACCTTGACCTAGAACAGCAAAATCAGCTATGTACAGTGGTACCTTGTTCAGGCATTTTCATTATTTCAATGTATTCCCCACCACCACCACCAAAAACAAAATTTAAAAAAACACCACAAAATCAAAACAAAAATCAGGAATAATGAATACAAGAGAGGATCAGGATAACTTGTTCCTGAAAACTAACATTGAGTTGTCAGAATGAACAGGGACCACTGTTTTGAGCATGTAAATCTGATCTCACTACAGACTAATGAAGTCTGAACTAAATTCAAACAAATCAAGCCTGAATAAGCTTCTAGTAATGTTTTACAAATGAAATTGAGATTAACATGTATTTATTTCATACCAAATGGAAGCACAGGAAACAATGACCTTTGTCCCTACTGATCGCAGACACCGTTCTTGCCTGCCATCTTTTCCCACCCCAGCTGTTTCCCTGCCTGTGTCGTCGGCTTCGTCGGCCTCCTGCCTACAAGTCTTGCCCAGGCATTCTTGGTGTTGAGGTGTGCATCTTGACCAGGTTTTGGACTTGTAATACCGTTTTTTCCGTTAGACTTAACATATTGTACAGAGACAGGTGCTCTGTACATTGGCTTGACAAAACCTATGGTCCTACCTTTATCTAATGGATCGAGAGTATCCATACAATTACCGCTTGGCCTGGGAATGATTATATCAAGATTGCTACTTGTGTCTTTCTTATACTCCATTTTTGACCCATTTTTGCTATCTTTAAAAATTGGCATTGGCAGCGGCCGTCTGATCTGTGCAGATTTCCTGAGACTCTGAAGACCAAATCCAGCCTTCCGGAGTAAGACATCCCAAGGTTGTGATGCAGATCTCGCTCTTGGTTTCAACTCATGTTCTGGGTTATAAATGGCTGATCCATTTTGATCAGAAGTTTGACTATCTGTCTTCCCTTTTCTCACAGTCCCATGATCCTTTGTACACAAATATTCATCAATTCTAATTTTATCCCCATGATAGATATGGTTACTTCCATTTTGGTTACCATAGCAACTAACATCGTGGTCACCATGGTTACTAAGAGAGGTACCATCAATGCTGTCATGGTGATTACTATTGAGACTGACAGAAGAACTAACGTTCCAGGGTGGTACGGGGGAGGGAGGGTCACATGATGGAATAGGGGTATCCATGGTTACCAGGATGTGCATACGAGGTTTTGTGAGAACAATGTCTTTATCTAGGTCATCTAGTGAGGTGAGAACAAGGTCACTGAGTGCAGGGGAAGAGGTAGGTGCACAGTGCTCAGGTGTGACTGCAAAAACACAGCAATGTAAAAAGTAAAACCATGGAAAACAACTACACAACTATTAAATTTGTATACATCCATTAAATTAGTTTTTACTTTTGTAACAGAACTTCTTCATTATTATAAAAGAATGTCTTTGAATTATATGTTTCAATGACATCAGGCCTATAGGTCTTAAATTCCCTCTAGCTTTTGTTTTGGTTCATTTTTATTTGAAAACATTTTGTCCCTGTGACGTTGAGAGTGGGCCATAGTCAAACATTTGACAACCTTTGACAGCCCTTCACCATAGAAAGCTGAAGGACAAATTATATGACTCTAGGTTGTATACATCTACAGAAGAAGTTGTTTGAAGCTTTAAACACGTTTGGCCCTTGTGATATTGAAAATGAGTCAAGCCAATTAACTTACACAAATTTACATATCAAATATCCTGACTCAAGATATAAAAGCCTTGCCTGTGACCTTGAAAATGAGCCAAAGTATTCTATTACAACAACTTCACAATTATCTGAGTAAGCTACTAACTCTCTACAAACTTGGCCAATGATAATACAATAGGGGGTTAGGTTTAGACACAGTCCACTATATATATAATCTAGTCTTTCGATCTAGTTCTATTAATGGAATTGTTTGAAGTAAAGGTCAAGGTCATTTATGTGAACTAATTTAATACTAAGCTAAAATGTACTTAAATGTTGTAAATGTTGGTCATCTGACATCTTTATGTGGATTTAGTTAAACTGTATATTTTAACATATTTTGACATGCTATTAGATAACAAAGCTTGACTTAAATCTTAAGTTTTGTGAAACTGTTTCACTTGCAAGATGACATTATTCAAAATTTGATTACAAATCTATGGTGTGAGAAAATACAGTTCTGCAAAGAGGAACATGAAATGCTATCAAAGCACACAACACTTATTAGTTAAACTTTCAAATCTCTTCTCCTTGGTTTCTTTGTACTGTCTTATATTTTTACACAAGAAAAAACATTTTGCACTGAATGGTAAAAAGATTGTTAAATCTGAAGACGATCGTGTGAACCTAGTGAGTAAAATCAAATAAATGGTGGTTTTCAGTTTCCCCCAATATCCTACCATTGTCATAGGATTGTCCGTTCATCATAGACACGCTGATATCCTGTTTAGACTTTTTTGTAGGCTTCTGATTGGATGGATGGTAACCACTAGCAACACCATTCAGCATGTGTGCCTGAGGAGGGGGCGATTCCACTTCCACTAGGGAACATAAAAGTGGGTGAATAAATGTTTTAAGTAGATTCAGTTTAAATCATCATACTTAAGCTTAATTTCACTTTTCATTGCTCAAATATATTGTATATACACACACTAAATCATAATTTTTTATTTTTGTAATCTTGAAACTATTCACTTTCTTCACTATCTAATAAGAAAATTCTGCCTTGTTTATTTTCTTTCGTAGTTCCTAAAAACAAAATTGAGATCAAAAATCTTCTTTGATATGAACAGGGTATTCAAAATATCGGAGCTAATTATTACAATGTCCAACTCTAAGTCTCTACAGTAAAGGCCTGTAGCTCACCCGTCTTGCCTGTGATTGGTTGTTTCCCAAACACACTGTCTCTGTCACTGTATTGAGGTACCAAAGGGTGTCGGTCATCTTTATTCTGATGAAAAATGAAAAACAGAAATTTTTAATGCAACATTACTGTGGCCCAGTCTTGGTGTGGGATTGGACTGAGTTGATAAATTGCGAGCAGGTAGCCCGATTGATTTGAGTGTCAATCTAGAGTTTGAAGGGTCCTAGCCATGCAATTTTCTTCTCCTATCACAATAGTCTAAAATCGTACCTGCAGTAATGAGGAAATTGAGAAACCCTGGCATGTTAAAAAAAACCTACAGTATGCTTTGTAAGACTGAAAATATCAGAATTGATTGTTTTGATCAATGTAGAACCCATACATAATTTCTTCTGCAACAATCAATCTCTGTTGTCATATTGCTGATATTCTGCGGTAATACAACTAGGTCAATTGGGATTTTTAAACAATTTCAATTTAATTATCAGAAAAGTTGTATAAGTCATGATAAAAAAACACCCAAGAATAATCTCACATGTCAATGTCAACTTCTTAAGAATATAGGCTCTACCTTACAAATTATACCTGTGATTTCTGTCAGAGTTATTTCCCTTAAAATCTCTCGTTAAAGATCAACTTTTATTAAACAGATTTTACAGGTCTTACAATGTGGAACTCTCTTGTAATGAAGATACACTTCACAGGAAGGTAGTACATATATCCTTAACAAACTTTGATATACATTACCACTGCTCTTGCATCAGTGAAATCTGTAAAACCAAAATAAAGCCGGACTGTTAGTGAATATACAGGTATGACTGTCAGGATTTAATGTAAAAATAGTATGATTTTATATAAGCATCACTATAGAATATGAAATAAATTGATTAGATCAAAAGAATTGCCACTCGATAAAAATATCCTGATAAGTTGTAAGAAAATCATGACTGAATATGAAAGACCAAAATAAGGTACATATGGAAAATTGTTTATGTGCAAACAAACCATGATAACAATTTCATTAATCTCCTGTAACTAGGGTACAGCAAAATCTGTTTAATCTGACCCCTGGGTATAACAACATCCTGTCTAATCTATTTCTTACGAAAGTTACTCTATATGATCTGTAGAATTGGACATCCTGTTTAATCTGGCCAATAGGCCTTGTCCTATAGGGTGAAAGTTTAGACAGGTTTTACAAGTTTTTAAACCTGACATTTTTTTCTTTAGGCAATCTACTTAAAACATACTTTTTCACCAGGTGAAACTTACTGTTGTCTTGTGCTTTGTCTTCCTCATTCAACCTAGAAACATCAAATACATATAAATCAGTATTGATCTTGACTGAAAACTTGTACACTAAAAACTGTTTTCTTTTTTAAATTTTGTTGCGATACACTTTATTGGAAATAGGGAAAGTTCCCAATCCATTAGACCTCTGTTATTTTGAATATAGGTAATGGTCATTAATTTTGACAGCTTACTTTCCCCCCAGGATGCTATAGGCAGAATCTCCTTACTATAGATACATCATTATTCATAAAATGTGGTCATTTGAATATTTTAACACATCCTTGTGACTGTGAATTTATCATGAAGGTCAGGGTCATTTACTGTTACACATTTTATAGTCACTCATGCTAGCAAGCTACAAGCTATATATAATTACTCCCGGCCTCATAGTTCCCATTTGAACAATTCAATATATTAATATCCTCTGTGACCTTGAAAATAGATTACCGGTAATTCATAAGAGCCAAACACTTACCATCCTGTCATCTCTGTAAGCTACATAATAAAAATCCTGACAGATGATGTTGTTTTATGTTTTTGACAAATTTACTCTTGTGCATCTTGTACACTTGAATGTGGGTCAATGTTGTTACTATTATGTTAATTATTTTTAAATAAATTTGATAGATCTTGATCACGTAGGGAAACATGCCAAATATCATGTCACCATGGTCACCATGGTCACTTATGGTTCAAAGGAAATTGTCAAAAGTAAAATGGTGTTGATAGAGAGATATCCCAGCTCTTCACATGAGCTCATAGGCATTTGCAGCTAGGTAAGTTAAAAATTGATTTGTACATCTTGCTTTTACCTGTACTTGCGTGACCGCGTACAGAAGAAGTATGTGGCCAATATGGAGGCTAGGAGGACGATACTGCAGCCGATGGTTGAGAGGACAGCAATACCGACTGTGGTCTGGGCCCAGTTAGTTGTAGTTGAACTACTGGAGGTGTAGCTGCTCACGGCTGTTACAGGGAAGGTCGAAAAGGTCGCACTGGACAGGGCAGTGGCAGGCGATCCGTCCGCCTGCTGTAGAACTGACAGTATCTCTGACTGAGTCTGGAATGACTTGGCGGTCTCCAGACCATCCAGCGTGTCTGCTGATGTGTCGGTCACTACATAAATCAGACTCTCAGATCTGTGCAGATTATAAAAGTGCAGCATTAAGTTTTACTGTAATCATTATTCTGTATATGTGTACAGTGAACCTATTGAAACATGAACATTATGTTTACATGTCTAGTGGAAACTTGTTGGGCTTGTTTGTACAGTGGAGCCTACTGTAAACTGGGAAACTTTCACCTCATCAATTACTCACCTCTCACCAGTACATGTTTACCCAGTGTTCATTCTGCCCTTCATTAACTGCAGTGAACATTTCCTGATATGCACTATCTCAAACTGACCTGCAGACCCCCCCTCCTGTACCTGCATCATGCAACATTTTGAGATGTAAGCAAACTCAAAACTTGATGTGAAGACATCACACCTTCATATACTGTATGTGTTATGGTGCTCTCTCATGGTCAAATATGTCATCTTTGTGTGAAAAACTTTATTTGGTAAATTATGAATATAACACCAGCAAGACTGTTCCTTCTTGAACAGATACAAATTTTGTTTTTCAGCAGGCTCGGAGCATACTTACCCAGTAGCCAAGAGACGACGACGACGCGCTGTTGAAGAAGAACCTTGATGTTTCCAGATCTCCAAACGTGTTGTTGCAGGAAACAGCGTCTGGAGGGCTGTACGCAGGGTGTTACTGTAAAATGAAGAGGTAAAATAGGCCTGTATTTGAGCCATGTTTCACTCTTGATTACACCAGGAGGTCCAGATACTCAGGGAGGACCGTTCTACTGTACACAGGGGTGGTTCAATACTAAACAATATGCTTAAAAGTTCAGGTAAAAATAAATAAAATGGAAAACATGGATTTTATTTTGAAAGGTTTCCAGTACTATGAATCATTGAATCCTCACGATTGAAGAACTTTGATATGTTCCTTGTTTATTTCCATGTTAAGAAATATTTACAATTTACCAGTACTGTAAAAATCTGGGATTTTTTTTCAAGGTACTTAATATTGGCAGATTTGCTAAAATTGTAATTTTCGAGGGATAATTTTTTCCCCATAAATTTCAAGTCTACTGGCCACTGCAGATCGTGCAATACATAGTAAGAATGGACTGTTTTGCTATTAATTTCGAGGAATATAATTTTCATAGAAAAATTGTTACAGCAAAAATTAGAGTCCTACAATTTTTTTTTAACTGTTACAGTATTTGAATTTCAATTGAATTGAATCATTATTTCTTGAAATATTTTAAATTCTGAACTATAAACGATTTCTACTTTCCTTACGTTTGAGCAGATACAGTTGCCACATCAACGCTGTGAGTCAACACCACTACTGAAGTACTGGCAACAAATGCGTCAACACGCATCAGACCCGACGAAGCTGTCACCACATTGGCTGTGGTGGTTACCTTGGCAATGACGTCCATGAAATATCGTGAATCTGAGAAAAGGTAGGTCTTATCCTGTACAGCAAAGTCACCAGAGGTGGACCCAACACTGAAAACGCCACCACTGCTGAGAGTGGCAAAAGTCAGGGTGTCTGTGGCTCCCACTGTCAGGCCAAAATCTGTTCCAGTAAGAGTCTTGATCACCTCAGCGTTTGATGCCTCAGTTGCACACTCCAGGGAGAAGAAATGGGAGGCTGACCCTGTCACTGTAGCAGTGTCCAGAACATTGATAATATTTACTGTGACAGCGGCAGTACCAGTATTTGTGGGAGTTCCTCCATCTTTAGCTAATACTTCGAAAACAATGGCGGTGACAGTTTCATAATCCACTTCCTGTTTCACAGTGATGACACCATTGCTGTCAATCTGTAGATATGTGTTTGCCAAGGGAACTGCTGAAGAGAGTTCAAAGGTCATCTGTGCATTTGTTCCGGAATCCCTGTCTGTCGCTGTGACTTGGAAAACTGTAACTCCTACAGGAGAGTTCTCTACCAGTGATTTCGTGTATGAAGTCGGGTTAAACACTGGGGTCAGATCATTAGCGTCTGTCACAATGATATGGATGTTTTTATCGTAGTCAAGTGTAGCATCTGTCCTGTCTTTCAAATTCACCAGAAGATAGAAATCGGTTGTTGTTTCGTAATCTAGGGTGTTAACAATTGTAATTTGTCCATTAGTGCCGCCGATCTGAAAGTGGCCAGCCTGGTTGCCACTGACGATTGTGAAATCAACTGTGGCACCTACTGCATGTACTGGATTTGTGGTAACAGTACCAACGATGTAGTTGGTAGCAACACTCTCAGATGCTGTGAAGGTAAAATCACTGACAGTAGGACTAATGATTGGGTCCACAGTAATGCTGAGAGTTGTAGTGGCTGAACGGTAAGCCACACCTTGATCTTCTGCCTGGATTACCAGGGCATGGCTGTCTGCCGCAGCAGTCAGCAGCCCTAGAGTGGCCACCACACCAGAAGTGGAATCCACGTGGAACAGGTTATCAGGATTTCCACTCACTATGGAGTACCGTAGGTCACCATTGGTCCCTGCATCTGCATCTGTGGCTGCAACAGTTGTCACCGTGGAGGAGGAGGCAGCCGTCCGTAACACAATAGCCGTATAGGGATCCATGGCAAACACTGGAGTGTTATCATTAATATCTAACACCGTGACAGAGAGGGTGGTTGTCCCTGTATTTGGTGTTGCACCACTGTCTGTCGCCTCCACTACGAGGACATAGGAACTCAGTGATTCTCTGTCTAAGGTGTTTGCCATCACCAGGTGACCACTTGTAGATATAAGGTTGAACTTTAAAGCTGCATTTCCACTTACGATATTATAGTTGACCCTACCATTAACGCCTGTGTCACTGTCGGCGGCATAGAAATTAAAAACTGTTTCAGCAACACTAACACCCTCACTGATCTCAAAGTTGTACGTCGTTTGACCGAAGGTAGGTGTCTGGTCATTGACATCATTAACATTGACAACGACGGTACTGGTTCCTGTGCCTGGTGTTGTCCCACCGTCAATGGCTTCCACAGTCAGGAGGTAGCCTGCCTGTGTCGCAGCATTCAGAATCACGGTGGTCGAGATGACTCCAGTTGTACCGTCTATTGTGAAATCAGAGTTACCTTCCCCTGCAACAATTGAGAAAGTTATTGCAGCATTTGTCCCTGAATCAGCATCCGTTGCCGTTACTGTACCAGGTGTAGAACCAACAATAAGCCCTTCATCTATAGACCATGTATACGATACAGGGTTAAACACAGGATCGCTGTCGTTAATGTCAGTCAATGTTACAGTTAAAGACACAGTGTCTCTTTTCGTAGCATCATTTCTGTTCTCTGCTCGAATGACAATGATATAGCTTGCTGTTGTCTCTCTGTCAAGTGCACCGACCAATGTCAACTCTCCGGTGTAGAGTGAGACAGAAAATTTCCCCTCAGCATTTCCAGATTGTATGACATACTGAAGATCACCAGTGGTGCCCTCTATAGCTCCAAGTACAGTTGCATCCATGTCGTAAATCAGTGTATTAAGTGCAGTATTCTCTGCTATGGTTACAGCATCATTTGTCACAGCTGTCTGAGGTTGTGCATAGATAGGGTTGACGGCGATATTCACAGTTGCCGTTGTCGACCTGGCTGGTGTGCCTTGATCAAGAGCTTGAATGAGAAGGATGTAATTTGGTGTTGTTTCAAAGTCCAGAGCAGCTATCAGTTTGATATCTGAACCGACCAGCTGGAAAGCAGTTCCTGTATTACCGCCAACTATTGAAAGTACGATGTTAGCGTTAACACCACTGTCAATATCAGACGACGTTACCGTTCCAACAGTGATACCCGCTCCTTGGTCTTCATCTACGCTGAATGTGTATACAAACGAAGGAGTAAAATCTGGATCATTATCATTGACATCTGAAACTGTGATGTCTAGTGTGGCATCTAGGGTCGTCCCTGCTCCATTATCTGCCGTGATTGTCAGAGAATGACTTGCGGCTGTCTCTCTATCCAAAAAATTTGATAAAATGATTTCCCCTGTTGTGGAGTCAATCACAAAAATCCCTGCAGCATTGCCAGCTGTAATGGAATAGGACATCACTGTGTCTACATCTTGGTCAGATGCATTTATGGTGAAGAATGTGGTACCTGTGGCTGTGTCCTCTGCCAGGGTGTCAGTATAGGCATTTCCAGCAACACCGAAAGTTACTGGAAATTCATCGACATTAGTCACTGATGCATATACAGTTGTCGTACCAGTTAATTTTGTCGCTCCGTTGTCCTCGGCTGTTATGACAAGTGTGTATGATGAAGTGGTTTCTGCATCCAAGGTATTAGCTGTTGTCAACAGCCCTGTTGAACTGATTGCAAACTTCCCCTCAGCATTGCCGCTGACAATCGTGTAGGTCAAGTCGGCGTTAACTCCAACATCTGTGTCTGCTGCTGCCAGGTTCTGCATGTTTGTTCCAGCAATCACATTCTCAACAGCGGACAGCGAATAGAAAGAGTTTGGGAAGCTTGGGGTGATGTCATTAAAATCAGTCACTGTGATGGTCAGTGTAGCGTCAGCGGTCAGGGTGCTGACCGTGTCCGTCACCCGTATTACAAGACTGTAGCTCGGAGTTGTCTCCCTGTCCAATGTACCGTAAAGAAACAGTTTACCAGACACAGCATTTATACTGAATTTACCATCCGCATTGCCACTCACCATCTGGAAGGATTTCAAACCAGATGCCACAGTTACTAGCACTGTGTGTATGAGTGTTCCGATTGCTGTGGATTCGATGACAGACTCTGTTGTCGGTAAGGCAGTAAAGATGGGGTCAACATAAACTTTGATGGTGAGGTACACAGTTGTCGTTAAGGGCGTGGCTCCTGTATCAGAGACAACAATCTGTAACTGGTAATCGGTCTGACTTGGCAGGTTTGCCACAGTCACAACACCTGTTGCACTGACTGCAAAGTCTGTGTTAGTGTTGCCACTGGTGATTGCATAGGTCAAGGCTGCATTGACCCCGGTGTCTGCATCAGTACAAGTCAACGAGTGCACTATATCATTGACAGCGACAGACGTCAATTCCTTGAACAATATTGTGGAGGCACAAGATGGCGTATTGTCATTTGCATCGTCAATGCTGATGGTGATTGAAACACTTCCTGTTTTCTTGGTGGTACCTGATTGGTCGATTCCATGAACTACCACCACATAGGATGGGGTTGTCTCCCTGTCAAGATTTGTTGCCAAGTAGATATTCCCGTTACTGGCATCTATGTTGAATACTGTTCCAAATGTGTTGAGGGAGTATTTGATAACACCGTCGTTACCTGCATCAGTATCTGTAGCAACAGCTGCAGTAACAGAAGTACCTGTGATCACAAAAAAACAGCCGCTTAAGTCTGAGTTAAAATCTTTACTTGTACTAAACATATAATTGAATTCGAGATTATCTCTCTCTTTACTGATTAATGCGAAAATATATGTATTGGAAACAGTGTAAGGTACAGTTAGAACGAAAAAACCCTGAACATGTCAAATTTGTATATTGCTCCAATGCACTAGCTGGAGCCTCAATAATCCAGCCATCATCATTTCCACTACAAATCAATGCATTGTTGGATAACAGTAGCAATTTGGTATCGAAATGAGATCTTGGTGCCCACCATTGTACCATCTTCATTAGTTCTATGTCAGTTCAATCATTTCTCTTTTTTTCTCTCTTATCTGTTTGATCAGTTTGCCTTTTCGCCATCTTGATCAGTCTTTTGATCAAACTTAAAAGTTAACATGAACAACTCAGGACCAAGGGTAACTTCCTGTGAAATCTGCGAAAGATACTCCCTGTTTTTTCACAGAAATAGCACTAACAAACTTTAACTCTCAAATTCAAGATGGCTGCTTGTCGGCCATCTCAGTTATGCGATCAGACCCAAAAAATGATATGCATAACTAAGGATCATGGGAAACCTCCTTGTGAAAATTGAGAAAGATCCCTTCAGTACTTTCTGAGAAATAGCTCTAACAAGAATTGTTTAAGGACAGATGGAATGACAGACAGATGGACGGAATGACGGACAGACGGATGGACCACAGACGCAGGATGCTTTGAATAGCTCACCATGTGATGATTGTGGGCTAAAAAATAATATCTGTCCCCTAAGACCTAAAACAAACTGCCTGGACAGTAGGACAATCAGATAACTAGTGGTGGCTGGATTGTCAAGGCTCAACTGTATTATACATTTTTTCATTTTGTCCTTAATGACTACAGTACACACTGTCTTTAACAAAACTTTGCATAATCACCTTTTTTTGTTTAAACTGGCCAAATAATTTGGTTCAGATGAAGTCAATGTATAGCAAGTAGAGTTTCTACAGTCGGAAACTCTCTGCAAACTACCATATATTACCAGGTCTCAGTGTCCAGTTTTGGAAGAAAACGCAGCACAAGTAAGTAATGTATATGTGTATTGTTACCTATAGCAACACTTTCTGAAAACGATGCAGTGAAGTCTGCGCCGAAATCAGGTGTTGCCTCGTTAACAGGTGAGATAGTGATGATGGCTGTTGCCGTGGATACCAGTGCAGGGGCACCGCCGTCTGTGGCCAGGATGATCAATGTACAGGAAGTGGCACTCTCGTAGTCTAGGCTGGCGGTGTTGGTGATCTGGCCAGATGCTGAATCAATAGCCATTACACACCCAGTAGCTGTGTTCCCACCTGTGAGAGAATTCAAGAAGATACATTGTACATTGCTACTATCTTATGATCTATTTTTTCTTCTGAAATATTGAAAAACAAATAATTTCCAAAAGGGGTGTGATACGGGTTTTGCGGGCTGATACGGAGAGGGCTGATATGGGTTTTGGGGTGTGCTACGGCGGGGGGCTGATANATTCTTTTGAAATATTGAAAAAAACAAAAAATCCAAAAGGGGTGTGATACGGGTTTTGTGGGCTGATACGGAGAGGGCTGATATGGGTTTTGGGGTGTGATACGGTAAGGGCTGATATGGGTTAGAGCAATTGTGTCGTATCGCATATACAAAAAAAACGTATTTATTAGGAAGTATGTAATAAACACAATTGTTGTATTTGTGAAATAGAATACCGTATTTACCTGGTAATAAGCCCATGCCTGGTAATAAGCCCACTCATATCTAAAGTACGTTTATTGAAGCTGCTATTGGTGTCAGATATAATAAGTTGGCCCCTGGTCTTATTGCAGGATACACCTGTAGAAATTTACAGCTAGGATAATGCTGATGTATACAAAGAGTGATTAATACATGTATAAGATGAAATAATTTGTTTCATCATTATTGTAAGATACATAAAGCATAATTTTAAAATCTCCACCATCTATCATTAAGAGTTTCACTGTGAATGGTCAGAGAAAACTTGAGAAGATGGTCGATTGTGATCAGGTCTCTAACTCGTAGCTAAAACCTGAAGCAGATATGTGTTTCACCTGGGTGGTATTCATGAAGGGATCTCATGCTCAAGCATGGATTTTGTGCTCAAGCCTAATTTGTTGTTTTAGTTACAAATTAATAAACAACTCTTATTTTGTCAATGATTTGGAAAAGAATTTGAAGAGACTCAAAGCCAAATACTGTTTTCAATTTCACCTTTGACTTTGATCGTTTGAGACTATTCAAGCGAGTTACAAGAAAGAAGGTTTGAGCACAGAATCCATGCTTGAGTATGAGAACAGTTTTATGAATACGGGCCCAGCTCTTGTATCCATTAAAATCAGCAGTATAACACTCTTTTGAACTTACTGCTGATGGAGTAAGTGACTTGACCATTGGTCAGTTTGTCTGCATCTGCAGCAGTTACTGTCAGGATGGCAGTGTTGGTTGTGATGTCCTCCGCTATAGATGTGGCAGGAGTATAGATAACCTGTCCAATCAAGCAAATACACTTAAACTTATAGGCATTTGAAATCTCCAAGAAATAAGGATGAATAATCAGAAAGATGGACACAGTGATTACTATAGGACACCCTTATCTCTAATGCAAGGCCGTAACATACCAACAATATATTAGAGTATATCCCAGCACCTTTACTTTTCCCTTTACAAGTTCAAGTCCTCATTGAATATATCATTGGAAGTGGAATTGAAACATTTAAAATTCACAATAGTTCAATATTGTATTAATGAATATCATCTTGAGAGATGCAGTTGACCATTTTGAAGGGAGTGTAGGATTTCTAGCAGGGTTTCCAAATATTTCCCTCAACCTTTACCTTTTCTGGAAGATCCAGGAATTTTGGAAGAATTTGAAAAAATCAAGTGTACAAAATGTACCTGTGTGAAGACGGGACTATTATCATTGAGGTCATTGACAGTGATGGTCAGAGTCCCGGTGATCTTACTAGCGGTCAGTGTGGAGGAGTAGGCAGAGATGGTCAGTGTGTAGGTCTCTGTTGTCTCCCGGTCAAGTGCACCAATGACCGCTACATTACCTACATAATGTATACAGAAAGTCCAGATCAAACTCTCATACCTTCACTGTTACATGAGCTAGCTATATATTATATATTGATTATT